TCCTCAATTTTTTGTACTTTCCCTGCAGACTACATACCATGGGTGGATGGGAAGAGCTACCGTGTGATCTCATAAATGCAATTTGCCAACGTCTTGAAACATATGTTGATCATATCCGACTTGGTGCTGTATGTGCATCATGGTATTCGGCCGTGCCAAAGAGACCTACTCACCTATTCAAGCAGATACCATGGCTTATGCTACCTTTTGATGACAAGACACAGACGCATTGTCATAGTTTTTATAGCATTCTTGATGACAAAGTATATCATTTGGACCTATCAGAAACTAGAGGAAAGGAAAAGTGGATTCGTGGATCTTCCCATGGTTGGCTGGTAATTGCAGAAATTCCCGCATTGTATCTCTTCAATCCTCTAACCAAGGTTCAAATTGCTCTTCCTCCCATCTACACCTTTCCAGATATAAGATGGTACAGCTCATACAACACCGGGGGAGAATATGCTGTAATTAATTGTCAGAGAGGGGAGACATTCTACTGGAGCCAAGCTGAATTGCAAGAAACGTACATACATAAGCTTGTTTTATCCTCCTCCCCACTTGATGATTATTTGGCCTTGGCAATATACGGTGAGTTCCGTCAATTGGCATTTTGCAGACGCAATGATAAGAAATGGACAGCAGCGAAAATGGGTTTTTGTTGCCTTCAGGATGTCATATTCTACGAAAACAAGATTTATGTTGTGGATGATCATGCCATGGTCCGAGTTTCTGGCATGTCTTCCTTGCCCAACTTTACGTTAATCCCAGTACAACATAACCGTACTATGTGGATGATAAGTTTGTTCTATTTGGTTGGCTCTAGCAAGGGATTGATGTTGGTGGCCAGGCATTACGAGACTGATAATGATGAACTGGAAGTACCTCGTCCAGATGTTTGTTCATACCAGACAACTGGATTTAGGGTTTACTTGCTGGAATCTAACCAGTGGTCTCAGATTGCAAATTTGGGTGGTGACCTTATTTTTATAGGATATAATGCC